CAAGGCTGTCGATCAATGATTTTGGCTATCAATTCAAGGGTGAGTAAGCTTATTTTGCTATGCTAGGTGAATGATATCTTGGTGTAAAGGAAGCTTAATCTTGATTGCCAGTTACTTAATTTTGCATTTTATTGTTTGTTCACAGAGGTTGGTGGTCTACATGTACTTCTGGATGAGGAGGGTAGACGCTTTGAATTAGATTGGTTTGGAGGTGACAGAAGAATGAACCAAAATAGATATGAAGATCTAGGAGAGGTAATACTAAATATGATATGTAAAAGCTTTGTACAAAACTGTTTTCAGAATATGCTGTGTCCACTGGCAAAACAAACTTTTGATGTATTTATTTCATAATTTTTGTTGTATTTTAACCACAACAAGAAACAAGATGGCCGCACTTATTCTGCTTTATTCTCCACGTGCAGTTATGCTAATTAATTACATACATGCATAATATACGGAAGTAATAATCTCTCTAGTAAGCGCAAGTAATATCTTACAATTTTCATCAATGATACTGTACCGTCCGTCACTCTCGATCTGCCTATAAAAATCTAGTGTTGGGCCCAAAACCAACAACGAAGTCCTCAAGTATTAACTGCTGCTCCTTTTATTTTTACATTAACATTTCTTACGTAGAGCTGGTGATGTAATTCCCAATGTTCACGTGCATATCTATTTAATCCCTTATTCTTTATTCCTTGCTCAACAGCGTGCATTTTTTGTCTATTTAATCCCTTATTCTTTATTCCCTTATACTTCATGCTTAACTGCGTAACACTACCCCCCTCCCCCAAAAATTCGTGTCCGTCACGGACTGCTTAAATCATCACTCATGGCTATAGAACTTATTCATTTGATTTTTTTTTTTTTTTTTTTTCACTATACTTATCCATTTCCCTATGTTGAATGGCCGAAATTATCTTCGTTAATTTACTCCCAAATTATACCCTTGAATTTTATTGATAATGAACAATAAAGTCTTGAAAGTGAGTAGATATGAAGTGCCGGTTCTGCATCACTCGAGTGAGGTACCATTGAGGTACCATTGAGGTACCCCCCCCCTCCCCCTCAGGGTCTTTACAGAGATGACGTTATAGCTATTCTTATGTTTTTAGTT